GCAGAGAAGGCACGTGGAGGCCACGGCTCTGCCCCGGACGCTGAGGAGGCCTCGCTCGGAGGAAGCACACGGCTGGCGGCTCCGGCCGGGCTGGAACACATGCCCCGTGGAGGGGACACGGGGAAACCCAAACGTACAAACACAGAACCAGAAAGAACCGGAACGAAGGCACCTTGGGTGGGGCCGGGCTGGGGTCGATTCCCAGCGGCAAGGGGGGGCCTTGGAGGTCGGTGTGGCCCCAGAACCATGGCCATGAGGGTGGGGGGACCTGTTTCTTCAGGGCACACAGAGGCGCTGAGAGGCTCTGAGACCCTTTCCTACTGCAGGGCCTCCCCGGGCTCTGGGCTGAGATGTTTCCCTGGGAACCACCTGCCAGACAGCGGCTGCCACGGCCACGAACGGCCACGCAGCTCGTCTCATCCTTTATCTTCAGGTTGTGAAGTTTCCGTAACACGTGGAATCGTCAGTGAACAGTGGTTTTCCACGCGCCTGTTCTAACCCTAACGGAGTGAATGTGGGGGTTGCCATGAGCCTCCTCTTTATCACAGTTTAACAGAAAAAGAGCACAGTTTCCAGCAGATCCATGAAGATACTATTGTTCCTAAGAGGCCGTGTCTGCTTAACAGCACACTCTCCTCCCAACAGCAGAGCCTGTCCTTCCGGCGCTGGCAGCTGGGAACGCCGAGTCGGGAAACGGGACCGAGCCGTCCATTTTCCATCTCTTGGCCGTCAGGCGTGTGTGATGGGAGAAAAGGAGCCGTGCCCAGCGGCCGGCGTGGCTCAGGGGCTGAGCATCGACCTACGAACCAGGAGGTCACGGTTCTATTCCCGGTCAGGGCACAGGCCCGGGGGGTCGGGCCGGAGCCCAGTGCGGGGCGAGCAGGAGGCAGCCGATCCATGATTCCCTCTCATCATTGATGTTTCTCTCCCTCTCCCTTCCTCTCTGAAATCAATAAAAATATTTTTTTAAAAAACACACAAAACGTACTGATTGTTTATTTCTGGAATTTTCCATTTAATACCTTCAGGCCGCTGTTGAAACTGAAAGCACAGAAAGCAAAACTGCACCTAAGTGGGGACACCCGGCCCGGCTGTGGTGGCTCAGTGGGTTGAGCATCCTCCCCTGGACCCAAAGGTCCCCAGTTCGATTCCCGGGTCAGGGCACATGCCTGGGTTTCGGGCTCCATCCCCAGTGTGAGGCCGATCCATGATTCTCTCTCATCATTGATGTTTCTCTCTCTCTCCCTCTCCCTTCCTCTCTGAAACCAA